AGGATTCTGGTGAGACAGTGTGGAGATCTACTCATCTTGTTTTTTGGCTGCCCTTGATAAGCCTCATATGTAAGTTCCTTTGCTTATTAAGCCTGTCACCTACCAATCTGGAATGGCCTGCCTCTTTCTTTGGCCTCTCCCCACCCTCCGCTCACTGGGGCCAGATTCAGATTTCAGCCAGGAACTCCCTAGGTTTCAAACCAACAAGGAGTTGGTTGAGCCAACAAGGAGATGGAAAAGACGCATCCAGGGAAGAAAGAGGCATCCACGGGGGTCTTAGGAAAGAGGTATCCATGGTGGGCCCTGCCCATAATGCCTTCAACAGCCCAGTATGGCTGGTAAAAAAGCCAGATGGCTCATGGTGGATGATCGTGGACTACTGAGAATTAAACAAGGTAATGCGCCCCGACCCCAAATTCTGCTGTACCCACCATTGCTACCACCCTGGATATCTTTGTTCATGGTCCTAGAAGTGTTCCATGTTGTCCTAGACTTAGCAAATTCCTCTTCAGTACATCCCTGGCTGTTGAGTCACAAGATTAATTTGCCCTCACATGGGAGAGGCAACAATGGACCTTTCCAGTGCTTCCCCAAGGCTACATGCCCAGCCAGAGGTATGGGATCTGATGGCAACAGATCTGTCCCTATTCTTCCCCACCTCAGTGAAATGGGCCCATTACATTAATAATATAACATTAACATGTGAAGACTTGCCTCTCCGACAGGGTACTTTGCAGATTTTGTTGGAGCATCTGCAAGGCACAGGATAGGAACTGAGCCAACAGGAAATTCAAGGCACAGGCACCACCATAAAGTTGTTGGGAATCATTTTGTTGGGTAAGATGTGAATTGTCCTAGAAGCTATGATAAGATGAAACTTATCCAACCACTAGGAACATAAAAGAGATACAAACCTTGTAGGGATTTTGAGAATTTGGAGGACTTTTGTTCATCTACCTGGCACAGTGCCTCTGTCCCTTATACCACCTGGTAAAGAAAGAGAACATGTGGGACTGGGGATCAGAAGAGCAAGCTGCCTTTGCTAAGACAAAAAATACTAGAGAAGTCAATTAAAGCTCTGACCATTTAAATTAGACATATCCATGACTCTGGAAGGTATGGGTTGGGCACTGTAGCAGAGATGACAGAAGGAGAGAGTGCCTCTAGAATTTTGATCCTAGTTCTGGAAAGGATCAGAAAGCTGATCTACCCCCTAGAGCAACAGCTCCTAACAGTGTACACAGTGCTCCTCTCATGAAGGAACAATATATTATGGTAACAACTTCCCTTCCTATCAGGGTGGGTTGAGAATATGTTCCATCGATCCACCTCTACCATGGCTCAAACCCCCGGTTGACTAAGTGGCAAACCTATTTGCAATAGAGGAGCATCCTGTCCTCAGCCCACTGTCTCTAAAAATGTGAGTACTACTAGGTCCTGTAGAATATGTAGATTCTCTAAATGCCCCCACCCCATTCCTATGCCAGGCCCTGCGGCCTGTAGAGAGGCCCAGTATATACCGACGCCCAGTATACAGATGCCTGGAAACAGGAAAAAACACAGTGCGCTAAACAGAGTGGTTTGCTTGGCGATCACTCATGAACCCTAGTTGTTAATCCTTTGCACTGGCAGTTGGGCTGTTCTAAAGAGATTAACCCCATGACTTGAACAATGGAAAGCCAAGGAATAGGTGGTCATGCATAAACCCTTTTGGGGTCAAGATATATGGAAAGGCATTTGCAGTTCCCCTGCAAAAGCCTGGGGGAGCCCTCGCTGTCTTCCACAGCTGGGAACATAAAGCACTAACACCCTGTGGCAATCAGGAAGCTGAGGCCCTAGCTCGGGCACAAGCCCTAACAATGAGCCCTTCAGTAGATAAAATAGATTGGATGCATAGAAAGAACAGCCATCATAGCATCTGGGTGGGATGAATATGGCCAAGGATACCCGATTGCCCTTGGAATACATTGACAGCTTGTGCTGTGTGATCTAAACGATGCTGAAGGCAACTGCCAAAGAAGTCTGGGATCATCGGCCAGAGTTTCCAACCCGTGAAGGAGGCAAATCAATAATATTGGTCTCTGCCCTTTGAGTGAGGGTTCTAAATATGCCTTGGTTTATATGGACACTGAGTCTGGCCTAACCCAAGCTTTTCCCCGTTGTTGCATAAACTGTGCTGCCCCCATTAGGGGATTAGAGAAGCTGTGTCCAGATTGGGGTGGGTTCATGTGACTCCCCCTGGGTTATAGACATTTGAGCACCAAGGAACTCTTACGCTGGGAACAGAAAAATCACGCTAAACAGAACAACCCCAACACACCAGAGATAAGGGATATATATCACAGAAACTATATAGTTATTCTGTCATATCAAAGAATAGAGGCTGGTTTGGCACTGACCGGTATGGCCTCTTCGGTATTTATTGGGTAGCACCAAATGGGACCCAGTGGTTATGTGGCACAAACCTTTGGCCATGGCTTCCATCTGAGTGGTTGGGCCACTACACTCTGGGTTTTCCCTGGACACAGGCGAGAATCCACCCCACAGTAACAAAAACAGCCCACTTTCCTCTCAAGGCACCTTTTGTTTTCCAATGGAGCAATCACTTAACCACTGCCTTTGTCCCCTCCATGGGTCTGCAAGATGTTGTAGGACACATAGAAGGCCCTCCTAAATCCTCCCAGCAAGACTTAAATGATAGCAGCAAAACTTGTCTTTACTCAACCCTGAAATGTCTCCAGGAAGAAAAGCTGTGCTCCCAAATAAGATGACCTGGAGCATCACTATTGCCTCAAGAGGAGGGCCTTGTGCCATTGTATGTTCATACCTGATGAGTCGGCTGTTGTATCATCTTTATTACATCACATTAAACTACCAGAGAACACTCTGGGTGATCTGAACCCCAGCCTAGGGACTTAAATCCGTGGTTTAAAGCATGGGGCTCTCGGTTAAAAAACAAAAAAAATTGTTATGTATTTGAAAAATCATTATCTTAATCTATGTTTTCTCTTGTATGTTTCTATGTTGTTGCTGTGGTATCTGTCTCCCATTCAGCCAGCCAGCCACCCGACTAGCCACCTCCCAGCTAATAAAACTTCTTGCTGACCCCTCAGCACATGTTATAAAAGAGAGGGGCATAAAGATTTTAAGAGCCAGTCAGGAGAAAAAGAATGTCGGAGGAGGTCATCGAGAGGACTTGACCGCAGGTTGACCCATGAGCCACACCTCGGCAATCAGAGGCTCCTCATCCCCTCCTCTGCCCTTGAAATGTACATTCTGCCCATGGTTCCTACAGCTCGCACGGTGGGAGCTTTCCAAGGATGCAGCTTCGAGAGAGCAATGCGTTGTTGAGACGATCTGGAGGGATTATGTGATGAACCCCGGTAAGGCCTCTACGTAAAACTTTTGAGATTCTGGTGCGGAGATCTACTTGTCCTGTGACGGCCCAAGACCGGCCTTGTACGTAAGTTCCCTGGCTTATTAAACCTGCAACCTACCAATCTGGAGGGGCTGCCTCTTTGGTCTCTCCTTGGCTTCCGTGTACGGAAGCCAGTTTCAGATTTCACTGGGAAGCCCCCAAGTTTGTGAACCAACGCTTTTATTCTGGCAGATAGATGGTTTTCATTTGCGTGTTCCATTATCTCAAAAATAACCTGAATCTCAGAGAATGTAAGTGGCTTGGCCAAGGTTAAATTAATAGCAGTGTCAGAATTGAGGCCTGAATTCTGATTTCCTCACTTTCAGTATCACGTTCTTTCCACTTTTTCCTCAGTGTTAAGGACAATATTGAGTACAAACCTTCAGGGCTCTACACACTTAAAAAGGTGCATCCCAGAATGACCATCGATAGTGGCATCGTGGGTCAATCTGAAATATAATTTTGAAAAGGAGAGTCCTGGAGAAACTAGATTAACTTGCAAGGGACATGCCATCCTTCTCTTGGGCTATATATACCAAATATTTTTTTTAAAGATTGTCTTTATGTGTGCCAAACATTCCACACCACCGAGAGCTATTACACAGATTTCTAGTCTAATTGGTTTGTATGACAAGAGATTGTGATTTAACTTTCTCATATATTTGGAAGGGGAACTTTTCCTTTTGTGAAACTCCTGCAAATCTCACAAAACCAGCCAAGCCTGGACATTCAGGAGCTTATTTCTTGAACTCCATGGTTCAATAAAGATGCACATCCTATACTGTTGCTGTTGAGAGCCCCCTCCCCCCAAAATATGTCTTGGACTGGTTGAAGTCTGACACAGATGAGCACGTAGCAGCTTGCCAAAAATGACACCCTTTGCATCTTTTATTTTATTTTTCTTCTGAAATCAGACCACACAAAGGATCATTCAGCCAGAGTAAAAGCTCGTCAGCAGATTTCAGAGCTGCTTAGGAAACTGCCACCCCAGTGTGAAAGCTACCCCCAGAGCAAGTGTCACAGCATGTGCTACATAAGCAGCCTTCTCTCCTCCAGGTGGCATCAGGGCCCTGGGCTGCTGCATGCTCTCAAGTTCATTAGCAACCTGCCCAAGCCCTTAGACTTAGGAACCAGGGCACCGCTTGGTTGGTCCATCCGTGAGTGAGACACAAGTATCAGCTCTGTGAATTGGAAGTGGCTTCTTGGCTTCCCAAATCAGTAAGCAGAGCCTCCCAATGGTATGTGAGCATGCCCACACCGACTGCGGACTGCAGACACCTAGGCTTTAAGTTCTTGCTAGAAGGCAGAGAAAGAGGAAGTTCCCTTAATGCTTCCCTGCTGCCCCTCCCCCTGCTACATTTTTTAACCACGCATTTACGCCCATTAAATCAGAATTGATGAAACCTATAGAAATGTAGTAATGTTTGAACATTGAAAAGCATACTGAAAAATAACAATATTCTTATTATACAATAAGGCAATTTCTTCAAATCGAGTAATGATGTGATGTGTGTGGTTAACTGTATCTATGCAGGAAGTGGTTTTATTTTAAAGTTTTTGTACTCACCCCCACCCCCTGCCTTTTTTTTTTTCCTCCAGTACTGAAATTAAGCAGCATCCAACATAGGCCTACTCTTACGACATGTGACTTGACTTTACTGTTTTCCGTTTTTGTTGAAAAAGTCATTAACAGTTGGAAGTTGATGGCAGTTTCAGTAACAAGTGATCACCGAGAAAAGGTAAGTGAATTTTAACTTCATATTGAACAGGAAATTTAAGCTTGAAAATGTTCGGCCGTGTCCTACGCTTTTGCGTGAACATACAAATATTTCTACAAAAACATGTTTTCACCTGTGGTTAAAACACCTGTTTGTTTCTTTTGGCGGAGAAAGACTATTCTTTTCATATTTGCAACTGTCAAATTCAAAAGTCCTTTAAGAGAAATTACACTAGGATCATTTGCTAAGATTTTATACTAAAATGTTAAAGACAGATTAAGGTATAGTTTTAGTTTGGACATACTTTTAAAAATAACTACTACAGAAAATACGGGACCTTGCATCTTTAACTGATAGTTTTACAAAAATGTGTACTATTCAGGATCCAGATAATGAAAGATTAAAAAGGCACTTTGTAACAACAAGAAATAACATCTGAATTGCAACGTGAAAAATTTCCACTATAAAGTGTTGTGTTAAGATAGCATTAGAAACCCTTGAAAAGGTGTAGTTTATTAAATGTGTAGTTTATTAAAGAGCTATTAAAAAGCAGGACAGTTTTAAAATGCAAAAGAAAGCTCTCTATTATGACACTTGAGTATTTTAATTCTTTTTCCCTAAATTGTATTTAAGATATAAGGTGAGAGAAAGGTTAGTTTCTATTTCATAAGCAAAACTTTCTGTTAAAAAAAGAAGACATAGCTGACTTTATCGAAGGTTAGTTTTGGGAGAAGGGGCAAATTAGAGATATATTTTTGGTATTTATATAATTATATAATTTTCCTTCTTTGAGATTTTCCAAAATAATAACCTTAGAAATGAAAGGATTCGTTAACCATAAAGTGACGAGAACTTTTCTTTTATACTGACTTCTTGCTTTTACAAAATGTCTTTGTGTTCTGTAACATATGTACAAAAAAATATAAAGTACTGCTAATCTCAGAGACAAATACCTAAAATAAATCTGAGTGTAGATTTTTGAAAGAATTTTAATAAGAGCTCCAGATATGATCCACTCTTCCCTAATATTATTTTTATTGTGCTGTTGAATGGGGGAAGTGATGGCCCCATAACACCGATTTTTTTGTGTTATTAAAAAATGGTTACAGGGTTGATAAGTGGCAACAATTCTTTTCTTTTATTATCTTTTATTGAAAGACACATATAAATGTTTTTTGATATGGTCAATTTAGTAGGAAATTATTCGGCATACTAGTACACTCTATTTTAAGACCTCTTCAGTTGTCAATACTGAGGCTAGCTACTTGTTGACTATTAAAATGATCACAAAAAAAAAGAGATTAGGACTTGATGTTCAATACATGTTTTATTGTTAGACTGTAGGGAAACCCTGGTAATATGCATTTGCTTTGATATTCTGATTAGCTTTTCAATTGGTTACATTTCCACACAATGGAAAGCATTATTTAAATCTGTCTTCAATATTGTGGTTCTGAACCTCTGCATCTACAGAAGCTGTATAATTCAGATAGTTTTGGTTGATATGTTATTACTTTATTTCATTTCCTTATAAAAGAAGATCACATGAATAAACATATGTAGTACTTACACATTAGCAAGAGTGACTATCCACATAAGCATTTGGCACTGAAAAAAGGTCCACTGTAGTTTTTTAAACCATTTCATATTTTTAAAAGCCAAATTCCTTGTTAAATGATTGTTTCTTGCAGAAACTGTCCAATTAAAGTATAAATATCTTATGAGGTATGTCTAAAATTAAGAATGAATTACGTGGCTTGGTGTGGATTTATAAAGAGCAACAATTAGAGATGACAGACATAAAAACTAAGATACTCTCAGAATGGTTTGTAAAAACAAGTACTGCATTATCTCTTGAATACACAGACCAAATCTTAGAGAGAGTCAAGTACAAATAAGATACTATAGGTTATTATACCTTTATATATTTTAAGTGAATAAATAAGAAACAAATTTTGGTGAAATGAAACAATGCAGAGAATCTCATTTGGAAAGTAATTTCAAAACTGATTTATTAAAAGTATATCATGCTTTTCCACTTGGGGCCAGCATTCAGCAAAATTCAGAAAGGAGATTCTTTTCTTTTGATATTCCTCCTCTTATTCTTTTGGAATGCTTTGTTTTGGAGTGGCCTGCTCTGTCCCTAACTTAGGGTCTCGCAGCCTTGGTACCTAGAAGGACAGACCCCACTTGGGTCCTTCCATCCCATTCCCATTGTCCTTAAAACTTACTCATTTATTTCCCGGAACTTAGAGCGTCTGATAAAAATAATCCATGTTCACAGGAGAAGGCTGCAGAGCTTAGTTTCTTTTTACTTCTTAACCAGGCCTCCCCTCCCTGGTATAGTTTTAATAAGGTCTCTCAGCAGACAGATCCAAAGGAACAGCTACATGTTGAGGACTTCGGTCAAGTGAAGAGAATGATACCATAGCAAATAGTTGGGGGGGAATATTTGGGGCAGGAAGAGTGTTTCATTAACCATTGGTCCTGCTATGGTATTTAAACACAAAGTGTCTTATACGAAGGGTCCCTAGACATGTGTCCATTTCTCTAAGATATTCCTGTATAAATATACACCATTCTTGTAGTGGATGAAAATTAATTGCACTATGCCTTAACACTATTTTAATATTTCCATACACTTAGAAATTATTTAACAAAATTCATTGTTTAATATACATGCATTTTTTACATAATTTAATACTCTGAATTTAAATCTTTGGGTACCAGAAGCATATTTTTTTTTGCATTGCATAATACATGTTATAGAGTTAGACTTTAAAATATACTGATAAGTATTCTAAATTTCAGTTTAGAGTTGGCAAAATGCCTTTGTTTTCAAATGATAGAAAATGAGTTGAATTAGTTTAGGCAATAAAGATAGGCATTAATTTGCATAACTGAAAAACCCAAGGAAAGCAAAGTCAGGCATAGTAGAATCCAGGAGCTCACACAGGATTAAGATTGGGTTATATTTTCTTCATTACCTAGCTTTTTTTTTTTTCCCCACTGTGCTATAAGCCCTCTCTGATGGAAGCTCACAGAGTTGACAAGAAAGCTTCAGGTTTACATTTGACCTTTTCAGACTCTGTTGCAGAAGGTTGGCTTTTCCCTATCACCACAGTAAAGGTCTCAGACTGAGATCTGATTGGACCGAATTTTGTCACATGACCATGGTAGAGCTAATCATTAACTCTAAGACACAAACACCATGAGTGACTGACTGGATTGGGTCACAGGCCTTCTCTTGCATGGAGGAACCGCCTGAGCCTGCAACACGTGTACTCTTAGCTGAACAGAGGTGTCTCCACGTAGAAATGAAACTGCTTTCTCCAGAGGAAAGGTGGCTTTATTTCTTATGGGTAAAAGCCACAGAACTCTCCTACACAGCCACATATGGTCACATTTAAAAACAGTGCTTATTCAAATTATAAAATAAAAATTTCTCCGAACTTTATAATCAGACAGAAATACAGTATCAGTTTAAAGGTAGGTCTGAATGAAGCAAGTGTTTCAATTAAACTGAATTTTAAAGTATTTTTCAAGAGCTACCTCATATATGAACACCTGTCTCAATATTTTTCTTCTGGAAGTTTATAATCTAGTATGATTGTTATATTAATATTTATAATACAAGTAAAATTTGTCCAGTACCATACGAGGATTCAGAAATTCGTGAAACATTTTGTGTTCCTAAGTGCCAGGCAATAAATTAGAGAATTTCCAGGTGTTATATCATTTGATTATATCCTATCAGAGAAATCAGGACAGTTTGGGAGAAAAGACTTGTAGTAGTTTTCAGAGAGAGCTAGGATTTGGGATTTGAGAAACATTCCAGAGAACAGAAAGGAGATATGTCCAGGCAAAAATGTCAGAGAATTTCCAAGGAAGAATGAGTTGTCTAGTTTTGTTAGCTACAAGTATAGTAGTGGGAGGTAAGGCCAGAAAGCCTATTTGAGACCCTAGTAGAGTGGACCTGCCTAGCAGATTATGATGAAAGGTTATAAGTAACAACAGTACTGCTTAGCAGGGGAAATACATAATAGGATGTCCACGTTTTGCTTCTGCATGGGCTATCCAGCATCGGGATTTATTTGTTTCTTCCATATATCTCCCTGTTGGTGGCATACTCTTCAGTTTGCAGAAATTGTTGCAGTCAGTGAAGGTAGATATTCCTGTAACATCAAGTGCTGGCTCCCCTCCCCAGGTGCCTTGAGGTCCTTAGGCTGTGGTTATAATGATTTTTTTTTTTTTTTACTTTACGGAGTATTTTTGTTTTTTGTTTGTTTTCTTTGTTTTGAATTTAAGAATAGGTGATGCAGCAAGATGGTTCAAATCAAAACCTAAATATAAAAATTATAGAAAAAAATCTTTCTTACATTCCCATTTCTATATACCTCTATTCACACCTACCTTAACCCAACAGGCAACCACTTTTCATAGTTATTTCTTTTAAAACCTTTTACAGTTGCAAATGTGCATATATATATAATGTATGTGCATAAACCCTCCTCTATTATATTAAAGGTAGCATATTATACACACCTCGCCACTTTGCTTTTTTTTCTTTTAGTAATATCTTAGAGATATTCCCACAGTAAAAATAAGAAACTGTTCAATTCTCTCTCTCTCTCTCTCAGTATTCTCTCAGTATTTCACTGGGTGGATATATCACAATTTATTAAAAGAGTCATGGGTGTCTTCAATTTTTTCTAATGCAATGAATGTGTTAATGAAATTGTGTGTGTTTTAAAATACATCTGTGGGATGAATTTTCAAGGATACTGTTTATTTATAAGCCAAGAGACAAAATAATTTTGATAGTTATGGCCATACTAACTTCAGGTTAGTTGTAAACTTTTGAACTTCCACCAGCACTTAGAATGCTGGTAGAAGATCTGTAGCTTTTCCAATGGATTGTGTTTCTGAACTTTTCAGGTTTTGCTAATGGGTAGAAAATTGTATCTCAGTATAGTTTTACTGGTATTTCTGTTATTATGATTGAGATTGAGCTTGTTTTT